AGCTTTCAAACATCACGTCCTGACCAAGATGAAGGCGAAACTGCTCCCTGGCGTCTCCAGCTGGGCGAGGGCTCTGGGAGCCCACCCCACCATGGGAGGGAGGTGGCACCCAGCTTGGTGGTGTCCTGCCCCACAAAACGGGTTGGGGCACGCTCAGAAAGAGCAGGGGGAACATTCTTCACAGCTGGGGAAACTGAGTCATACTGAGATTTAAGTGACTGGCCCAAGGCCACTTGGCTAGGTATCAGCACAGCTTGGAACCCAGGAGTCCTGTCTTTTAACCACTAGGGGATGCCCTCTAGCCAGACACAGGGGACAGGACATGAATGTCTGGCTGAGGTCCTGTCCTGGCATCCGGCTGGGGATGGGGCCCGGATGTGTCTCGTGGGTATCCCTGATGCGCCGTGCCCATGGGGCACAGGGCTAGCTCCGCTCCTGGAGGTGTTCACGTCCCCAAGCTTAGCATCAGCAGCGAAGGCACGTCCTGCTGAGCGTTCTCAATCCCCTCCCCAGGCCCCATGCCTGCCCGCGACCAGTCGTGCGGCTGCAGCCGGGGACCCAACGTGGAGCGTGGGAAGTGGTACGGGGTCCGCTCCTACCTTCACCTCTTCTACGAGGACTGCACCGGTGCCGGTCTGGCTGATGACGTGACCGAACCCCCACTCTCCCGTGCCCATGGCGGATGGCCCTCCCTCGTCTGGAAGGTAAGAACCATGTCAGCATCATTAGCCCCTGCTGGGAGGTGCTCTGCTCCCAGAGCCTGGGGTCAAGGGTCACTCCCCCTATCTGGGTGTCACCTCTGGGACGGTCACGCCCCATCCCAGGATTTCCCCCTGAAACTCTCCAGCCCACAGTAAGAGCCTGGGTTCCTTCCCCTCCTCCCCGGTTTGGCTTGCCTGGCGTGTCCTGTTCAGGGACCCGCTCTGGCCCCGCAGTTAGGAGGCTAGACACCCTCCCCCAGGGTCAGAGGAGGATGAGGCACAGCATGCCGGAGATGCCGGGCAGTTCAGCCGTCAGCGATCACCCAGCTCTCTGGATCGCAGAGTCGTCCGGCTGAGGGACCGTGCAGGCAGGTACGGCACCGGCCTCCCCCTCACAGCTCAGCCAACGCAGCCCTAGCCTGCCCCTCCCCAGGACCTGGGTGCCAGGCGCTGCAAGAGACAGTCCCTGCCCTGAAGAGCAGTCTAGAGACAAAGGGTGGGAGGGGAAACAGAGGCCCAGAGCGGGGGAGGGAGTGCCCAAGGGCCGAGCCAGGACTAGCAACCCAGCTCTCGGGGGTGCCAGGCCAGTGCCTAGGCCATTCTGTCCCCATCCCCCGTGGTAGAACCTTTCCTCTCGTTAGTAGCACGCTGACGGAGCCCTTTGCATCCCGGCCCCCAGGTGAGTCTCTCAGCGGGAATGCTGCTCTTGCTGATTGGAGCCGCAGCGCTGGCCACAGGGTACCTGGTGCCCCCGAAGCTGGAGGGCATCGGCGAGGAAGAGTTTATGGTGCTTGACCTGCAGGCGATGGCCTATAACCATGCCCTGGTGACCTGCAGACTGGTGGGCGCTGTCCTGTGCGCCATGGCCGGGGCCCTGGGGGCGGCGGGCGCCCTGGCGTGCGTGCTGGGCAGGGCTGCGCGAGGGGGCGAGGAAGAGGAGGAGCAGCAGCTATCGCCCATTCTGCGGGACAGCCCCCTGAAGAAGCACAGCACCATCATCATGCCACCGGCAGCAGCAGGATCACCGGCTGTGCCCTTCGGCACTTCGCAGATACAAAACATACAGCCAAAGAGGGACACACAGCGCCCCCTCCTGTCCCCCTCCACCACCGCACCCACTCCCTGAAGCTAAGAGCTCTTCTGTCTCCCCCGTGTTACTGCCACACCCGATTAACAGCCCCACTGCCCCTGGCTCTAAGGAGCCCCGACGTGTCACCATTCAGCGCTAGCAGGAGGAAGGTGTGTGCAGCCCCTGGACCCCTTCCTGCTGCTTCATCTGCAGAACCTGGGGAGGGGTGTGGCCTGGCCCCCATGTGAGAAGATCTGAGAACTGCTGGAGGTGTCTTCTGGCCAGGCCACCTGGCTCAAACCCGAACAGAAATGCCCCTGACTCAGTCTTTAAGCCAATAGGATCATTTCATGCCACATCATCTGGAGGCGGGGCTACAACTGCAACCTATCAGCAAGAAGGAAACTGCGTTCGGAGGTAGAGATGGAGTGCGATTGGCCATCGCCTAATGGACAAAGTCCCAACTTTTCTGTGGTCCACCTTCCTCTGCCCTGCTTCCTGGTCAGCTGTAACCGATGAAAGTGTCTGAGTACTGGTCCAGCAATGTCCTCCTTCCATGCTGGTTCAATAAAGATACAAAGAAACTCAGGTTCATCATCAGTCATTTCCGGCATGACTTTGTCACAATCCCATGAGCCCTGGGTTTCACACGACAGCACCCTTCACCTTCCACCCACTCCCACAACTTAATTCAATTCTATGCTTAATCAGATCACCAAATCATTTGACACAGCTTCCACCCTTTAGACACTTGAAACGGGTTATTGGCTAATCTGATCAACGGTTACAGAGGTCAAATGCCATTCAATTACTGTTTAGAATATGTTTTTAATGAAAGGCAGATGCAGAATAAGGTTCTGTTAATGACTAGGGAGGAGAATGAAACATGCAGAAGGTGGAAGAGCCCAAGGAAAACCCCACAACACTCCTGCGGGACTCCAGCACAAGTCCAAGCAGGGCTAGTTAGACGCTGCTATTGACTTTGGCCACATTCTTTTCTCAGATATGGTGAGGCCACTCTACTGACGTCAGCAGTTTTGCACTGGTACAACTGGGAGTGGAATTTAGCCCTTTGTAAGTAGCACCCATGACTTGGGCCTTGATATTCCTCTTACCTTCAATGTGCATCACCTGTTCTGTACCCTGAGGGTTGGGTTTTTGAGACAGGAAATTCCTCTAAATCAACCCACTTTCAGGAACAGTTTCAGTTTTGACAAATGATAAAAATGTTTCCTTGAAAAATTCTTGACCAGCTCTACCCAGGAGTTGAAAAAGCATGATTCAGAGCCCCCAAGATGGGGAGAATGGCTTAAATCATGGGATTTTAAAAATAAAAAAGGTGTGTTCTTTTTATTTGCTTACTGGTTTCGGAGCCTTTAGGGGTCAGGTTTGCACGCTTTTCTCTGCAACGGTGGGATATAAATGTTATTTTCTTCAAGTGAAAGCTGAGAGTTTCATATAATCACATGACTCCAGGAGCTGGGGATTGAAAGAAAAGACCAAATATCGTGAGACTCGCAATCAAATCATGAGAGTTGGCAGCAAGGTTAATTCAAGATATTTGTTAGGAGACTCCATCCCGTCCTGGTGGAAATGGGCAATGACTTGACCTCAATGATTCAAGCCTTCGCCACCTCACAGCTGGACTACCGCAAAGTAATGTACCTGGGCATGAAGTATTTAGGAAAGTATTGATTTAGTATTGATTTTGCAGGGCCATGGGGCAGTTCAGACCCGTAGCCCATTCATCCAACTCCCCACCCTCATCGGGGACTTCTGGGTAAATGGGCCAGGTTCAGCCCCTGTCCACCATGGATAAGCTCAGAAGCTGAGTTCAGTCCAATTGACACGAACAGACTCGATCCGAAGGCCCCATTCAGCACTTCCTGGATTGGGGCCTGCTTCAGTGCCCCAGTCAGAGAGATCAGGGGAATCCATGGCCCGGGGCATGTGACACACACCAAGGGAGGGTGTGAGCAGGCAGGGAGCCCAGGGGCAGGGAGTCCTAGAGGATTATGTGAGCACTCCCTGGTGAGCACAGCCCGCGCTGGGCACAGCCACCCATGCCATGTCCGGCCATGGAGGCGTTCCTCCCCATTCTGCCCCCGTACCCCAGACTGCCCCATGTTCCCAGGCCTCCCCCGAGCAGAGGCAGGAATCCGGGCAGCTCCTTTTCCGCACGTCACCGCCTGGTGGAGCTGTGTGCTCAGAGCTCGGAGCTGGAGGAATGGCAGTGCCAGGGCTCACTGACAGCCGGGTCCTGAGGACACAGAGCCTGGGAGCAGTTTTCCAGTGAGCAGCAGAGATCACCTCTGCCCAGCGCACCGAGCCCTGAGCTCTGGGAGTGCCTCACGCCTGCCCAGCTGGGCCCATTACCTGCCCAGTTCTCGCTACCACGCTGGAGCAGGGGCGGTCTCCATGCAGACCCCAGGGAGCAGCAAATCCCTCGCAGCTCAGGCTTCCCGGGCTCCCTGACCAGGGAACTGACCTGGGAGAAACATCCCGCTTCTGCTCCTTATCCCTTGTTCCCTGATCAGTCGGCTCAGCTCTGTGACATGGGACCTGACCTCCCGGGGTAATGGAGTCAGTCCTGACTGCTGTGCTGCCCGACCTGGATCCCTCCACCTCCAACCGCCCCCAGGCACCCCCCCCGATAGCGTCACTTTAATGCAGGTGGGTTTTATTCATTGCTCGGGAGTAAATATGGACACCTGGGGCAACCCTTTGCCTCCTGCCCTGTTTGCCAGCCCTCGCAGCCCCTCCCCTCGGTCCCCAGGTAAGTACTTTGTACCATGCTAATGACTTGCTTCCACACCCCTTCCATCCACAAGGATCCCATGGAGTGGGGCAGTTTCAAGGATGCTTGCAACCTGGCTGGTGCTCATTGAGTCTCCACAGAGCCTACAGGGACCACTTCCAGCAACCTGCACACATGGGGCCCAGTTTTCACTGGGGGCAGGATCAGGGCCCCGCAGCCCATTTTTGCAAAACTCTGCATCCCACAGAGGCCATGCGATGCCCCGTAAGATCTGGGTCAAGCTCTCCGGAGAGGGTCCGTGCAGCATGCGATGAAACGTGGCTTCTGCAAAGAGCAGTGGGAGATGCTAGGAAAGTGGGGAGAACGGGCCTGCTCAGGGGGAAGGGGATCGGGAGGGACTGCTAATCTCAGATTTCCTGCCTTCAGCTCCCTTCCCTTGAGCCTCGCCCCCAGGGTGCAGACAGGGTTGGCAAGCCCCCGGGCGCGAAAGTGACAGGCCTAGTCCCTGAGTGACTGAATGAGGGAGGAAACAAAAAAGTGAATGAAGAAGGAAGTGAGAGAGGGAGGGGCGTGAGGGCGAGTGGAAGGTGACTTCCAGGGCATGGGAAAGAATGAATGAAGCAGCAAGTAACCGGAGGAGTGAGTGAAATAGGGAAGGAAAGAAGAAACAGAGGTGACGTGGGGGCCAGGACAGACGCAAGGTCACGTGCCCTCCCCCTCCGCCCCCGATTTCTGCCAGGGTTTCTATGTCCTGCCCTGAACCCTGCTGCATTCCACCAGAATCTTTAAATTGTGCCCCCCCCCTGTCGTTTCTGGAAGAGAAAGAGCAGGGGAGGAGAAATCCAGAGCAAGGGCCATCCCCAAGCAGGCTGGGGGTCCTCAGAGCTTCCCCTGGCATGTGCCAGCACTGTACACGGGCACACAGCCCAGACAGGGCCCTCCGGAGAATGGGTGAGGGAGGCAGGCAGCTCCTGGGAAGGGGGCAAGGAGGGTGAGGCAGCAGTTGTGACTGGCCAGTCCCCTCCAGGGTCTGGCTCCCTCAGTGCAGACAGGACGTCCTGTGGCTCGGCCTGGATCAGGGGGAGACCCGGAGAGCGGCCTGCGGAAGGAAGCGGAGCATTTCCTCCTGCACACGCGGCAGTGGGCAGTGGGGGAGGGAAGGGAACCAGCCCTTACGGCCCCCAGGGCTGCACAGCCCTGACAGCGGCTCTTCCAAAGGGCTTTCTGCCCCGGCACCCCCCAATCCGTTACCCAGGGAGGAGCCGAAGAGGGCCCAATGCCGCTGCAGCTCAAATCCTGCACCAGCTCTCTCCCGGCTGCTTCCACAGCATGCAACAAACGTGGTCACATCAACCCAGTCCCTCCGCTCCTCCACAGCCAGCTCCCAGGCCCCATTCCCTACTGTGACCCCCATGGGAGTGGGGGGGATGCATGCGGCTCTGTGCTCCCAAATGCAGCCATTGCTCCTTCGTCATTGCAGACAGGCCAATGGTGGGAGAGGCCAGGTATGGAGCAGAGGTGAGATCCTCCCCCCACACACCCACACCCTGTGCAGTGATGCCTGCTGGGAGGAGATGCAGCTGGGAGAGCCTTTGTAGCCAGTGCTCCTGCCCCATGCCCTGCAGTGCCACCCGCTGGGAGAGGCTGGCAATGCGGGAAGGTGCAGCTCTCCCCTCCTCTCCGCTCCCCAAGGAGCAGGAATTCCCAGCCATTCCCGTAAGCACACTTCTGGTGCCGCAGCGCTACGCCATCCCGGCCGTGTGCACGCTGCTCCCGGCGAGGCGCGCTGCCTTGGGCGCCGGTGCTCGCCACGGGGCTGCTGGAGTGTGCAGACGCAGAGCTTGGCCGGAGATGAATGAGAAAGATAAAAAGAGCTGCTGACCGAGAAGGCTGAGTCAGCCAGCAGCTCCCAGCAGCCGGGGTCATGGCAACAGCTGCGCGAGCGGAAGCCGGGCATTAGCCCTGACGCTGACATAGGCTTGACTGCACCTCCTGCCACCTTCTAGGACAAAACTGCCAAGCTGAGCGCCCATAAGAGAGCGAAACCGACTGGGCCCCCCTCTCCCACCACCCTGCCATGTGCTGTCAAAGGCCCACCCGTCTGAATGCAAACACCCCAGTTTGTCCTGCACCCCCCACCTTGGGCCGTGCTGCTGTGCAGGGAACAGATCTGACAGGCAGCAGGGAGCTATTTCTGGGTCACCCACAGCACAGGGTGGGGTCCTTTCTTTGGAGAGATGCTGTTCCCCTCCCCTCCCTCCTCCTCCCAGAGACATGCTGTCCCTCTGTCACAGAGTCCCCGGGAAATGCTCTGGAACTGCTCCCTACGAAGCCAGGCAGGACTCGGGTGAAGTCTCCTCTCTGTGAGCAGACTGTCTTCAGGGCAAGACGCTCACACGGCTTCACCTTCCTGGGTCTGACCTTGGAGCATTCAGCATTCTCTGCCCTTCCGTGCGCTTCCCACAGCGAGTCCGCCCAGGCGGGGTCCTGGGGAAGCCAGAGGGTCCTGCACCCCCACTTCGCAGTCAGACGTGACTCTTAGCCAGCCAATAAAACAGAGGTTTATTAGATGACAGGAACACGGTCTAAAACAGAGCTTGTAGGTACAGAGAACAGGACCCCTCAGCTGAGTCCATTTTGGGGGGCAGTGAGCCAGACACCCACGTCTGCACTCACTCCATGTCCCCAGCGAGCCCCAAACTGACTCCCCCTCCAGCCCCTCCTCCTCTGGGCTTTTTCCTTTCCCAGGCCAGGAGGTCACCTGATTCCTTTGTTCTCCAACACCTTTAACTATCACCTTGCAGGAGGGAAGGGCCCCGGCCATTA